GCCGCCGCCGCGCTCCATGCTCCGGGGACCGGCGGCGGCTCCGTCTCCCCCGGCGTCCTCACTCGCCCCCGGCTGCCGCCTCTTCTCCAGCCCGCCGCTGGACGGCGGCCGCGGCGAGAGCCGACGGGCAACTTTTCCTCAGGCCGGGCGGGGGAGGCGGCACTAGCGCCGCCGCCCCGCCTCCGCCCCAGCCCCGGCCCGGCGCCTCCGCCCCGTGTGGGCCCAGGCGGGCCGAGGAGGCGGCGCGCCCCGGCCCTTTCCCCTCACGTGGCCGGGCGGCCGGCCGCCCCGAGCGGCGAGCGGCGAGCGCCTCCGGGCCCCCTCCGGCACCTGCGCCGGGAGAGCCTCCCGCTGCCTGTCTGCGGAAGCGGAGACCGACCCCAGCGGGGTTGGTTCGCGCCCCCCCCCGCTTAAACGGAGACCGGCCCCTGAAGGGTTAATTTGCGCCCCGTCGCCCGCTGGGGGGGGCGACCCTTGAAGGGTTAAATTGCGCCCCTGCCTGCTTGGGTTGGGGGAGCTGGGCTGGCTCCTCGGGGGTGCACCTGTACTCCTTCCCTGGCGACGGAGGCCTGGTCCCCGAGGGGTTCATTCGTGCCACCTCCCTGCTGAGGGTTTGGGCAGCCCCGAAGAGATTGAATTTTTGCCGGCTTCCTACTTGGGGGGGGGGGGACCGGCCCCCGAGGGCATTTAGTCATTATTCGTACCCCGTTGGAAGAGCAATCATCCCCATTCGGCCCAGCAAGGTATCATGAACATGTGCAGAACGCTTCCCAGCTCTTATGATGCTAAAGGATAAAATCTTTGTCTGCTAAAGGCTGGCCACCCACGAACGGTGCTTGGTTTCTAGCAACAAGGGTTTAGGGTTTACACTTTTTAGGGTTTAACACTTTGTGCCAAAAAAAAATATATTATTTGTTCTGGCATAAAGTTTTGCTTACACCAGAAATGTGTGTCAGCATAAAAATGTCAGTCTTTAATATTTTGTTGCAGTTGAGTGACATGGCTACCCCCCAAAATGGATTATGCTGCCTTGAACAGGATTGCCTTCAAGCTGAGGTGTATGGCTCAGCGGCATAGTACACGCATCGCATACAGAATTTCCAGGTCCAATTTCCAGTGGGCCCATCTAACACTACCACCATCCAGCCACTTATTACCAATATGCCCTATCTTGTATCAATTTCAAGTATATTAATTTAAAGCACACTTGCAAATTAAAAACTATAAACTAGATTATTTGTTCTTATAGTCAAATGAATTGAAAGGTAATTCCTGCCTGTTAAGCTTCATCTACTAAAATCCTTTAATATGCCCCTATTGAACATCTCTTGCATGGGAGCAGCCTAGACTCTCAGGCAGGATGACCTAATGCAAATTAAGCACTCCCAAGCCTTTAACAACCAGATATACAAAGTTTCCAGACCAGTCCTGTGTACCGAGATCCCAAATAAATTGGCACAGAATCACAACAAACCTGATCAAAGAATAGTAGAACAGCAGAGGATTGCAGACTTCTGTGTTCTCAGAAAAGTGACTGGCAAGTACATTTAATTAAACTTTACCTAAACTATGGGAATAGGATTACTATTCCATTATGAGGTAAAGATGCATGTATGAGCAACTCAAATTTTGAGAGCTTTATCCCGTGATCAGATTAAGTAATATACAAAATTTCCTTCCCCATACCACACAGTTTAGCTCACGGCCTTGAGTAACCTAAATCCATTTTGGAACATGGTATGAATAAATCGTAATTCATTTCCAATATACTGTTGGCCCACTATGGTCTAAAATGTTTATTGACTATGCTCCAAGAACCTGAAGGGCTTATTCCTTGGGGTTGAGCATCCGCTCCCCTTCCAATTCTGTACTCTTAATTCCTTTATTCCTGCAGGAACTAGCACTAATGGATGGAAACTGGAAATAAGTAGGTATTACTAAACATTAGGAGAAATGTCCTAACAAGCTGTTGAATTGTGAAAACACTCTCAGGACATAATGGAGTCTTTTAAGGCAAAAGCTTGATGACTATAAATCAGGGATGCTGTAATTGCATCTTACATTGAGCAAACAATTGGACTAGCTTCACATCAAAAGATCTTTCCAATTCTAAAATTATGTGATTCCATGAAAATGATGTGCTTTCTAACCCTAAATGTAGTTCAATCAGTAAAACGATGTAGTTCAATCAGAGTATGAACACAAGTATATAAATACCCGTAAGATGGTACATAAAATAAAAACAAGAGTCATGGAAAATTGGTGTTCTGATGTGACAGGTGAGGAAGTTACCCTGAACTGTAAGACTCTGGATTGGATCCAAAGCACTTCCACTCAGACAAGACATCCAATTTTCAGCAATCCCCTCTATTAATTACAGCCAACCATGCCATACTGCATTCTATCCAAGGAACCCCCTCCCACACACACACATCCTCAGGAGGCCTTAAGAAGTTGGGAAGGATTGGGCAAAACCAAGGGGCCCAACTTGTAAATGTAGAAGTGCTTTCCACTAAAGCAAAGCCACTACTGGATACAACCTTAGTAAATATAAATAAGTTTGGACTATCTATGTTAAAATAAATATATGCTGCATTTTTTAAAAATGATATTTATTAAAATCACATTAACCTGTTTAAAAATGCAAAGAATCACTTAAGTTTAATGCTTTTCTTAACCCCAGCACGAATGCCAGACAGTTCGCCTCCGTATCTTTGTTCTTCTGTGCGGACCTCACGAACTTGCCCCTTCCTACGTATCTTAGCTCGTCTGAACTTCTCACGATGCTTGACTCTTGGATTACGATCAATCTTCTTCCTTTTGGGTGTGAGGCCTTTATTCTTGACAATCTGATATGTTGCACCCCTCTTTTGACCTGGTATTTCCTCTTCTGGAATCAGTGTTTCCACATCTTCCATTTTTTCTCGTTTCTTCTTTTTCTCAAGTTTTATCTTTTCTTCCATCTCCTTGTAATAATTCAGAGCAGCCTCCTCGTCTAAATCAGAATCATCTGTGGGTTCTTCATCAGCATCACCATTTGGAATCTTATAAATTGTTTTAGGTTTTCTTTTATTAACAAGATTTCTCACAGACACTCTGGACTTCTTTTTACCTTCAATCCCATCGCTATCATTACTATTAAATTCATTAAGGAGCAGACGAACCTCAGGTGACAATTTTTCGTCGACTACTCCTAAGTCATTGATTAAATTTCTGTATGTCAAAAGTCTTTCAATGACAGGGTGTCCATGAACTGGAATCCGTTTTGCTTTCAGCACGAGATAAAAACTGATATTACAGCAATAGTTCAAATAGAGATGGTACTTGGTCTGCAAGTACTGGCTGCCTTTTCCTTGTGGGATGACCCCCTTTCTTACCATCTGCATAAGTGGCTCCAGCTCATCTCTGAGCTCAGTCACCTTGGCTTCAAAGTCCTGAATCAGCTCCAGCAACTCAGGAGATTCTTTTTTCAACAACTTCAGCTGCTCCTTTTTGGAAAGAGACTGCAAGTCTTTGGCAATTTTTTTTCCAGAATCTTTTTCGCTGGGCTGTTCTGCTGTCCTGGTGTAACCCTGCAGCAGATCCAGGCCATAGTCATCTTCACCCAAGTTTTGTGCCAGCCGTTTCTGAATGGCCTGGGCCTCCTCCTCTTCTTCCAGCTCTTCAGCTTCAGTTTCCTCCCGGCTCTTCTTGCCAGCTTTGGATCGAGTGGGAGCCTTGCCATAATCAGTGCCGTAATAGAGTTGCTTCCGTTGACCCCAAGCAAGCTCATCGGGGAGGCCAGAGCCCCCACTGCTAACTCGCTTCTCTTCCAGGTCACTGTCCATGTCTGGGGGTTCGTCATCGTTATCATCATCACCCCCTTCCTCATTTTCTCCTTCCTCATCCTCATCTGTCTCATCCTCTTCAGCGAGTTCCAGTCCCAGCACCTCCTCCTCTTCCTCACTTTCCTCCTCCTCGTCGCTGCCCAGCGCCGCCAGCACCGCCTCCTCAAGCCGCCGCTCGTGGAAATCGTCTGCCTCCTCCGTGACGCACAGGGCTCCCGGCGCCGGTTCCTCGATCTTTTCTTCGCGTGCTGCGGAAGGTCTCAGGCCCAGAGCGATTCTCCGCCGCGACTTCCCCATGATGCCAGCCACGCGAGCAAAGGACGAGCGGCAAAGGAGCGTGCTCTACCACAGCGCAGCCATCAACGGATGACACAACTTCCGGGTGGAAGGTCAATGGAGAGTAAGTTCTGACCCTACTTCCGGTTTCCGAAGAGAGTAAGTCCTTGCCACCATCAGGCGCCGGATTTCAGGGGTTCCGAAATATGGCCAGACAAGTATTTCTCTGTCTCCTTTCCCCTCACAACTTACTCTTTTCAGCCCATCGTCCCCGCTAGTTTCCACGCCTGACTGTTGCTTTCCGAAACAATACACTTCCGGCCGATTATAGAGCGTCTCTCCACGCTTCCGGTCAAAGAGTTATGCGCCATGCATTCTACGTCCGACTTCCGTTTGCGGACGCCCTGACTCCGGAAATACCATAGAGAGACGTGGGCGTTCTCCGCACGTGAGAGGCGGGGAAGGGAGCCGGCTTCCGTGGGTCAGGCTGGCGGCTCGCCTTGAGCGAGCCCGAGCCCGAGCCCTTTCCCCCGGCCTATGTAATTCTCTTCCTCGCCACAAGATGGGGACGGCCGCTGGGGGATTTGTTGGTTTTTAGCGGTTGAGACAAGGTTCACTCAAGGATGAAAGTCCTCTCAGCCCAGCCAGCACTGCCAGTGGTCAGAGATAATGGGAGCGATACTCCTACATATCTGGAGAGAACCAGGTTGGGGAAGGCTGCATCAAGCATATCCACGGAGGTCAGTGAGGGCCCACTGAGGATGCAATCCTGTTCATGCTTGGACAGGAAAAAAAATCCTACAGCTCCCAGCATGCCCTGGCTGAGTATTTGGGGCATTCTGGGAGTTGTAGGATTTTTTTTTTTCCTGTCTCAACGGGCGTAGGAGTGTAATCTAAAACTCTGCCAGGAAGGATCCAATTAGGGTCCTGATAAAATTTGCTTTGAGATACAGATATGCATCACAGCTGTTCATCAGCAGTCTTCTGTCCTGTCCCCTGTAATGTTTAACATCTGCCTGAGGTGGCTGGGGAAGCTCACCCAGAGCTTTGGAGCGACATGCCAGCTCTAATCTGCTTTGTCACCTGACTAACGGCGTTGCACATTGTCTAAACTTGCTAATGGGCTGGCTGGGGCTGAACAAGTTGAGATTAATTTAGGGTGCTCTGCAGTCTTTGTCAGGGATTAGGATTCAACCCGGCCTGGATGGGCTTGCCCTTCTACTGAAAAATCAGGTTCGAACTTGGCAGTGCTTCAAGATTCTGTGCTGCACCTGGGTTTTCAGGCATGGTAATGGTGAGGAGCATGTTTATACGGCTATTTGTAGTACACCAGTATCCACAATTCCTGGGTCAGACTCCTTTGGCAGCAGTCATCCATCGGTAGGATATGTCAGGCTACCCTTGAAGAGCATCTAGAAGCTTCAGCTGCTGCACAATTTGGCAACCCGTCTTCTAACTCCTACCCTGGATTGTGATGCCATCTGCCCAATAGCTTTGCGCGGGTGGCCGGTTCTGTTCCAGGCTCAGTTCAAGAGGTCGCGGTTCACCTTTAAAACTCTCAACACCTTAGGGGCCAGCTATGTAAGGGCTGCCTCCGTTGGTATTGACCTACTTGGTTAATACGTGACCAAGAGAGGTGCTCTGAAAGATCCTGTCCTTTCAGGGGGTGCTCTTGCCTGACTCCCAGGGCAGGGCTTTCTCTGGAACGCTCCCCTTCGGAATTGCAACTGGTTCCTACGCTTAGGGTTCAGGTTCTCTTGTATTCAGGAAGGGGATTAAAACACATCTCTCTAATGAGACTTTTAAAACAATGTTAACATTATTAACAAAAATAATACTAAAACACAACAATGGCCTGTGTTTCCTCTCATATATCAGCCTCAGTGCTCTGTATTGTGTACATACTGTTTATATAGAGGGACTCACTGTTGGGTTAAGAAGTTAACTTTTCAGTATATGCAGGAAGCTTAACAGTTAATGTAAAGAAACAGTGCAAACTTCCATTATGTATACTCGATTTTATTTTTGTTGCTGGATTTTTTTCCATGCTCTTCCTGCTGTTTTCCCCTTAATGTGAAAAGGATAATGGATCCATACTCAGTGGTTATTGATGGGGCCTGTGTTTATCCTGTATTGTGAACAGGCCGATGTCTGTCTTGTTTGATTGATTTCATTTTATCCATGTCATTTCTGGGGGTCAGGGGTGCTGCAGGCCTGGGGCTTGCAGCTTTCATTACTGTGGTTTAAACCGCTGTGCTGCTGCTGGGCTGGTTGATCGGAAGGTCGCCAGTTCGAATCTGCACAGCGGGGTGAGTTCCCGTTGCTCCGTCCCAGCTCCTGCCAACCTTGCAGTTCAAAAGCATGCAATTGCAAGTAGATAAAAAGGTACCACTTCGGTGGGCAGGTAACAGCGTTCCGTGCACTTCGGTGTTCAGTCATGCCTGCTGCATGACCACGGAGACTGTCTGTGGACAAACGCTGGCTCCCTCGGCTAGGAAACGGAGATGAGCACCGCCCCCTAGAGCCCACAAGACTGGACTTAACGTCAAGGGGAAACCTTTAACCTTTAATAATTTGCAGTGCTCTCCCCATGGAGGCCTGCTTGGTGCTTTTGAAGTGACCTATTCGGCACCAAATTAAGATTGCCTCTAATGGCTTCCAGTGGGGCAAGTTGCTTGTTTCAACAGATTTAATTGCTCCTGAAATGGTTTGAGTTTAAATTGTTTTAAATCCCACACACTGGAATTTCAAGCTGTAATTTATTTCTATTTTGCCTTTCTCCTTGCAGGGCAGCTTACATAATCTCCTCCTCCTCTCAATCTTATCTTCACAACAGCCTTGTGAGGTAGGCTGGGCTGAGAGGCTGTGACTGGCCTAGTAGCCTTCATGGCTGAGTGGGGACTCGAACCCAGAGTGCCTGAGTTCCCACCCACCAATCTTAACTGCTACACCACCCCGGCTCTCAAAATGTTTTATTGTGTCATTTTATGTATTTTATTGTGTTTATATTTTTATTTTTACTATTGTACTTATTTTTGCAAATTGTTGTGAATCTCCAGAGAGCTTTGGCTATTGGATGTTATAGAGCTGAAAAGGAGAAGAAGAGCTGGGTTCTTCAGGTTTTGTCCATAAGACTAAGGTCATGGTGCTAAAGTGAAAGGATTGATCTCCAGAAGTTTTCTCCTGTTTTCTTGGATCAGATGATATCACTACTGCAGTATTGACAAATTATTATTATTATTATTATTATTATTATTATTATTATTATAACATTTCTATGCCGCCCCTTGCCGAATTCTCGGGGCGGCTTACAACACAATAAAATACATTGAAATACAATAGAACATAATAAATTACCACTAAATACAAAAATACAAGAAATTTACACTGAGATACAAATCAGAGATATGGATGTATGGAGGCATGAATTAGAGAGTAGAGTTGGAAGGGGCCAGGGAGGGGCCCAACCTTCTGCTCAGTACGAGACTCCAAATTAAACCATCCCTCTCGGATGGCTGTGCAGTCACATCTTGAATGCCTCTAGTGTGGGAGAGCCAACCCCTTCCCCAGGTAATTGGTTCATGCAGTCTCTTCACCTTGATTTATAGGGGTTCTGCTCCCCTCCTTTCCTCCACCACAATCACTGGGTTCTATCAGTATGGAATCCCCTGCCCTTCTAGTATAGCCTTCAGTACATCAAGTGCAGGAAGGCATTCTAATTATTCAAGGTTGGTCAATGTGGTGGAAAGAAAGAATGGAACTGATAGCTGACGCATACCAATCCAGTAACCGCTCTATGCAAAAGAAGCACAGGTGCGGGTTTATTTTTAAGAAAGCCACAGAGCAGCTGCAGCGCCTGTCGTTGTGAAGGGCGGAGTAAAGGTTTATTTGGAATTAGACTGGAAGGAAAGCGCACCCATTTGGGTGGTTCACCTGGTACAGATGTTTAAATCATCCATTACCCTGGATTTTATTCAGTGAATTAATCCCATTGTAGTGCTTCTTGGAAGTTGCCGTTTGGGCATCCTGAATAAAGTGGGGCACTTTTCCTGTGAGTGAGAACTCGCACCTGAACAGGTGGAAGCTGCAGTGTACTTTTAGGAGAGAAAGCCATCCTTGATAATAGATTTTTAATCAAATTTGAGATATATTTTCTATGAGGAAAGGAAAGAGTAGGTGGCCAAGGTTGGGGCAGCGATGTGACAGCCCCCCAGGCAGGAGCACCCTTTGCTTAACCCACAGTCTGCACCAAGAGTAAAGCAAGGGGTGTTTAACCTTAAATTACCCACAGTTGGGACAGGAGGGTTGGGGGGTCACATGGGATACCCCAGGATCAACCCAGTGGCGGTTAGTGTGACATGCGCCACAATGTGCCAACTGTTGTGTGAACCAGCCCGTTGTCTTTGCCTGCTCTTCTTGCCTGCATCTTCTTGGTCCTCCCATACCTTCTCCCCACTGCATCCTGTTTCCTGCGGTGTCTCAGCTCTCTGTCTCCCTTTCTTGCTCTCCATCTCAACACAATAATACGCCTTGCCAGTCCAACCAATTAAGCCTTTTTCTGAAGACTTACTCTCTGCTGGAGACCTGAAATTTTCACAGAACAACTGTCCAGAATCTTCCAGCTGCTGCCCCTCCACACACCCACAGGGCAAATCCTCCCAGTTTGCCCAGAAAATTGCCCCATTCATGCCAATGGTACTTCTAAGCTAAGGCTAATTGCTGTGTGGGATAAAGAGGCTGGCCACAAGCTAGACCCAAGGCCTCTGCCGGCTGCAGGCGGATCACTCCTCTCCTAAATCCTCCATCCCCTAATGCTGTGATTGCCGTCAAAATCAGGCTGCCTTCCGTCTGCCCGCACTAAGAGACTAGGAGATTTATTATTACAATCCATTGTAATTTATCACATGTACTATTAATGTTAATTATTATATTACATTACATCCTCTCTCGTGAGGAACCCAAGGTGCCTTACGGAGCTGCATTTACTGATCCTCACAATACCAGCCCAGGATATGTTGGTCTGAGAGTGAGTGACCAGCTCCGAGTCACCGTGCGACTGTTCTGGCACTGCAGGGCTAGAACCCAGATCTTCCAGGTCTCCAGTCTGGCAC